GGCAGCTGATAGGTCTGGTCCCCCGGAGGCTCCGGCCGCGGGGCATGTGGAGGGTGTCCAGCGATTAGGATTGGGTCTGAGTGATTGACCACGGGGCCAGGAGGGTCCAAATCTGGATCGCAGCCTGCACCCTCCACCACCCGCCCTTCTGGAATGTCAGAACTAAGCCAAGAGTCAGGTGCACCGGGAAATTGTGACTGAGCCTTCTTGGCAGAAGAGAAACTGAGTCACCAGTCCAGGAACCGCAGGGTCAGCGGGCCTGAAGGGGGCTGGGTCGGTCTGTGGTGCTGAGGGCTGGGTGGGCCTCTGTGAGCTGAGGTAGCCTCTGGCTGGGGACCATCTCTGCTGTGCCTGCACCTCTTGGCCCGGTTCCCCTGTGCTCTGTGACTCCCGCATCTCCTGGCAGCTTCTCCATGGTTTGGAGTTGTCCCTGTGGTTGGGGCCATCCGAGTGTGTAGGGCTTAGGCCAAGGGGGAGGGGGGAGGTCTCTGACGGACAGCCTGGTTATAGATTTGATGAGGAGGCTGACATTTCTGATAGTTTGAGGAGACTTTCCTGAGCTGTCCTGGGCAGTCACTTTGCCCTTTTATCTTAGGGCAGGACCACTCACCAAACAGCTAGTGGTTGTAAATTACATGCTGAGCTCTGTCACTTTCTTGTTGTGATTTAGAGTTGTGACATCATCAGATGCTCTTCTCTCTAGTTTCTTGTACATAGAGAAAATGGGACCCATAATACTGTCCTCCCCCATATAGTGAACATGGCAGTCATGTCTTATGTGCTCACTTTGTGTCAAGCACAGGCATGTACCTTGTCATCTCATTTTTCCTGACAACTGTAGCAGGTAGAGATTATTAACTGAGTTTCACAGATACAAAAACTGGGCTCATGATGCTAACAGGTGGGATGAGCTGGGACTTCAGTCCAAGTCTCACAGGCTTTAGGGCATACTCCCCAGGGAGAGAAAAATCTTGAGCCCTAGCTCCTTGTGATGTCTTACTTATGTGGCCAGTAAAGACTTGCCCTGATCCAACACACCATCTCTTTTTCTCTAGGGCTGCTGCCAGTCAGCCCTAGACTAAAGGGGGTAACCCAGAGATTGGTCTTTAGCCACTCCGAACCTCTACACAGGGCTTAAGTGCAGGGTTGTAGGATCAGCTTCTAAAAGAGCTGATCCTTCAGTCCATCATCCACTCATTGGGCCTATGGAGCAAGGTCTCTAAAGTCTGTGATCCCTGTACCCTTTTGACCCCCTGAGAACAGAGCAATAGGAGCTGTGGTTAAGGCTGGTCCAGCCCGTCCCTGGAGACTAGAACTATGCAGTGGAGAACACAGTAGACTCTGAATTCTGTAATTTGTTTGAGTGTCTGTTTTCTCATCTGAAGGGGTATTTAAGTTTTCTAAGGAAAAGTAAAATGACCTTGTGAAACCTCCTGGAATAGCATCTAGAAAGTGTGTGGTAGGTAGGGAAGGCTTTGCTTTGAGAAGGGACAGCGGTGATCTGTAAGAGTTCTCTGTGGTGTAAGATGCTCCAAGGCCCTCTCTTTCCTGGATCCCACAACATGGAAAGTGTTAGCAAAGGCAGCGGGAAAGACGCAGGATGGACACTGGGCTGGGCATCCCTTATCCCCAGGGTATATACAGGGTGTGGATCTTGAAGAGGGTAAAGCAGTTTGGTTCTCTTCCCCTGTTGCCCCTGAGGAATCTGGATGGGAGTACCTGGCTTGGGCTGGGACATACCCAGTCTCACCTCTGCATTGACTCAATATGTATGCCTCTTTCTTCCTCTTACAGCTGTTGCCGCTGACCCTTTTGGCCGCTTCCTTCTTTGCTGCCCCTCCTCACAGGCTCCCCCTGTCCTCCTCCTGGGGCCCATCATGAATGGTGCCCCTTCCCCGGAGGATGGGACCTTCCCTTCTCCGCCATCGCTGCCACCCCCCCCTCCCCCAAGTTGGCAAGAGTTCTGTGAGTCCCATGCAAGGGCTGCTGCCCTGGATCTTGCTCGTCGTTTTCGCCTCTACCTGGCCTCCCACCCACAATATGCAGAGCCTGGAGCAGAAGCTGCCTTTTCTGGCCGTTTTGCTGAGCTCTTCCTGCAGCACTTCGAAGCTGAGGTGGCCCGGGCCTCGGGCTCCCTCTCCCCACCTGTCTTGGCCCCATTGAGCCCTGGTGTGGAGATTGCACCACCACATGACTTGTCCCTTGAAAGCTGTAGGGTGGGTGGGCCCCTGGCTGTGCTGGGCCCATCTCGATCTTCTGAGGACCTAGCTGGTCCCCTTCCTTCCTCAGTCTCTTCCTCCTCTACAACATCCTCAAAGCCGAAGCTCAAGAAACGCTTTTCCCTCCGTTCAGTGGGTCGCTCAGTCAGAGGTTCTGTACGAGGCATCCTGCAGTGGCGGGGGGCCGTTGGGGCTTCCTCCCCGGCTGGGCCTCTGGAGACCACATCAGGCCCTCCAGTTCTAGGTGGAAACAGCAACTCCAACTCCTCTGGTGGTGCTGGGACAGTTGGTAGGGGATTGGCTAGTGATGGCACATCCCCTGGGGAGAGATGGACTCACCGCTTTGAGAGGCTGAGACTGAGTCGTGGAGGGGGAACCTTGAAAGATGGAGCAGGAATGGTACAGAGAGAAGAGCTGCTGAGTTTCATGGGGGCTGAAGAGGCTGCCCCTGACCCAGCAGGAGTGGGCCGTGGAGGAGGGGCGGCTGGGCTGACCTCAGGGGGAGGAGGGCAGCCTCAGTGGCAGAAGTGTCGCCTACTGCTCAGGAGTGAAGGAGAAGGAGGAGGAGGAAGTCGCTTGGAGTTCTTTGTACCACCCAAGGTGAGCCCACAGGAGGGTGGATAGCTGGAAATGACAGTGGCTGAAGAGGTAGTACAGCTCTGTAGATAGCTATGGTGTTGGAAGCCCATGTACACAAGTTGCTGTCCTGGGTTCAGCGCTACCTGTGCGCTCTCCCAGTTAGATCTGTTGCCATTGGCCGATCTGAGACCAAAGAGTTATTACCATTTTGCTTCATCTAGGAAGGAAAGGTGGTTGAATGGAGGGAGGGACAGCTGGCCTTGGCATACAAAAGACTGATTCTTAATCCCTTCCCCACCTAGGCATCCCGGCCCCGACTCAGCATTCCCTGTTCTACCATCACTGATGTCCGCACAGCCACAGCCCTGGAGATGCCTGACCGGGAGAACACGTTTGTGGTTAAGGTAGGAGCTCCAAGCTCTGCCCCCAGAGAGTGCTTGTGCTTGAGAGATGCTCTTGATAGATTTAGGCGAGTGTCTTTGGCAGCAGAATGAATATATGTCAGGACAGACTTTGAGTCTGTCCCTAGGGTTGTTGGTTATGGCCTATAGGTCACCTACCCCCTGCCCTTTCTGAAGCCCAACCTCTTGGCCTTGTAGGTAGAAGGCCCTTCAGAGTACATTCTGGAGACAACTGATGCACTTCACGTGAAGGCCTGGGTGTCTGACATCCAGGAGTGCCTAAGCCCAGGGTAAGAAGCTTGCCTCTGTTCTTGAGGGGATCTGGAGGTGTGTGGGGGAGCAGCTTTGTGTCTTTCTCCTGGTGGTTTTCTCCGCAGCACCATTTTCCCTGTCTTTGTAGACCCTGCCCTGCTATCAGCCCCCGTCCCATGACCCTTCCCCTGGCCCCTGGGACCTCCTTCCTCACAAAGGACAACATAGACAGCCTGGAGTTGCCCTGCCTGAATCATTCAGAGAGCCTGCCCAGCCAGGATCTGCTGCTGGGACCCAGCGAGAGTAACGACCGCCTGTCGCAGGGTAAGGTAGAGCCTTCTTGAGCTGCTTAGGCCAGGCTCTTACTCTGTCGAACCTCTCACACTCGGTCCTGTTACTTTTTCTGTAAGCCCATAGGCTGCCACTCTGTCTGGAAGTAATCATTCTCTTCTGCAAGCTTCCAGAATACTTTGTGGGCATCTTTGTTATAGCCTTGTCATGCATCCCAGCATTTGTCAGTGGCCTTTGTGCTTTTTCTTTTGGTCTGACTTAACACTCATGTATTCACAAAGATGGTCAGCTGTCTAGCCCAACTCGCCTTCTAGACTCTGCCTCCACTCTACCCTTTGGTTCTGAGTTTCAGCTTTATGGTGCCTGGTGCACAGGCACATTCAGTCAACAAAAAGAGTTATCATAGGCTGGGATTGTTAGAGCTAGTATAGACCTTACAGCAGATTGCAAGTAGCTAAGACCACAGAGAGGAAATAGATTTCCTAAGGTTTCTGACAAAGATGGGCTATGCGGACATGCCTGTTTTCTAAGAGGTATGGTGATGTGTCTGCTGGCCTAGATCTGAGGTGTGACAGATGTTCAGTCAGGTCCTAGTATGTCACTAGCTGCATGTTAGGCTCTGGGGTGGATGGGAACTCAGATGTTTCAAATGTCTCCTTGGTTTTCTTGGATTTGCTGTAGCTGAATTGGTAAGACATTATTCCCAGTAAAAAGCAGGTCCCAAAATGGGGAGTTTGCTTAGTGTCCTCTGAGCAGCCCAAGCAAGGAGCATCTTGGAAACTCGGGGGAGATAGAATAGACAGAATGCTACACAGGGGAGGTGAGAGAAAAGAGTGGCTTTAAGGAAGCCAGGGACCTTGCTGAACCCTGACATAGGAAGTACCAGAATGCATGGGAAGTGATGGGCTAAAGTGAGGAAAGGAAAGAACTCACGGTATAGTAAAAGTAAAAATCAAGTTGATTTGGCCTAAAGGTGTTAATAGGAAAAGGAAGATTTATATTTCCTTTTGTCACTGATGATTGAACTCGGGGCCTTGCTCTTGGTAGGCAAGCACTCTGTCACTGAAGGATGTTCCCAACTCTTTTGTGTGCTTTAGGCTGACCTGCAAGTCTCCAGCCTCAGCATTCTGAGTGCTTGATATAGGAATGTACCTCCTGACAAGAATTTTTGATGTCCTTCAAGTTGGTAGTTTTCCTTTCTAGTCTAAACAGAGGGCTCCTTTCTAATGTGGACATTTTTCAGGGCTTCTATCCCTCACCCCACCAACCATTGCAATAATCTTTCAGCTGTTGATTCAGAAAAGACATAGGGACATTTGGATTCTAGGACCTCCTCGAAATAACCATGGTCCCTCAGCCAGCAAGCAGTGTAAGTCAGAACCGCCGTAAAAATCCATCAGGGTCAGTCCTCCAGAGGTGTGCGGGGGCTGGGCACACAAGTGGACAGCCAATGGGGAGATGGCAGGAGCCCAGGCATCTAGGAGAGGGACCTGTGGTGTTCTCAAGTTTGGCCTCCATTTTCTTTCAGGGGCTTATGGGGGCCTCTCAGACCGGCCGTCAGCATCCTTCTCCCCTAGTTCTGTCTCCATTGCTGCTTCCCATTTTGATTCAATGGAACTGCTTCCTCCAGAATTGCCCCCTCGAATTCCCATTGAGGAGGGGCCTCCAGCAGGGACAGTTCATCCCCTTTCAACCCCCTACCCTCCCCTGGATACTCCAGAAGCAGCCACAGGTATTGGGTGCATGCATATCTCTCTTTGGTTTGTGGTCCTGAATTGGAGCTGGAGGGATCAAACTCAGGAGGAACCAGTGACCTGGCTGGGGAGGAGGTGTCTCAAGAGGAAAACAAGGCTAAGGAGAAGCCTCTGATGCCCTGTTTTCCCCCCTCTCTCCTTCCTGAAGGGTCATTCCTGTTCCAGGGGGAGTCAGAGGGAGGTGAGGGGGATCAGCCCCTCTCAGGATATCCTTGGTTCCACGGCATGCTCTCTCGACTCAAGGCTGCCCAGTTAGTGCTGGAAGGAGGCACTGGCTCCCATGGTGTCTTCCTGGTACGTCAGAGTGAGACAAGACGTGGTGAATATGTCCTCACTTTCAACTTCCAGGGCAAGGCCAAGGTGAGTAGTCCTGGAGGAGAACTCTGTTGGGCAGTGTTTGGGTGGCTGTGGAAATATACAGTTGTCCAGAAGAGGAGGGGGTCTGAGCTTCCACCTTAACTTGCTCATCCTGCCCTCAGCACCTGCGTTTGTCACTGAATGAGGAGGGTCAGTGCCGGGTCCAACATCTGTGGTTCCAGTCCATTTTCGATATGCTTGAGCACTTCCGGGTGCATCCCATCCCTCTGGAGTCTGGAGGCTCCAGTGATGTTGTCCTTGTCAGCTATGTGCCCTCCCAGCGGCAGCAGGGTGAGCAGAGCAGGTCTGCAGGGGAGGAGGTGCCCGTGCACCCAAGAAGTGAGGTGTGTGTGCCAGGAAGACGGGGTGGGGGGTTGGAGGAGAGGCCCTGTTAGTGGGGAACAGGACAGTCCAGGTACCTGGGCAGGGGTCTGAAAGGGGCTGCAGAAAGCTGACAGGATACAGGCAGGCAGAGGCTCCTCGTGGGGCCAGGGGTAGTGGAGAGTTGGGTGGTGCATTCCCATTCCATCGGATCCTCCACGCCATCATTGTCTGTCTCCTGGACCCATCCTCCTTGGCCTTGTCTTCGACCTTTTGAGGGATTGGTCTGATCCCTGTCCTTCATCCCTTGATGTCTGATGTCCCTGTCTGATCTCTCACTTTCCCCCACCCCACCATCCCATCTGTCCCCACGTTGCCCCCCCCCCCCG